TTCGTATCAAAAAAAAAAAAAAAAAAAAAAGAAACTTATGGGACATCCTAATATTAGACAAATGAAATAAATTTAAATTTGCGATGAAAACTATTGTATAATTAATAGAGAAGAAATAATGATAAATATTTTTTTCGTTCTTTAAAATAAAAGATGAAGCTCTTAAAAGCATTCAAAATGCCTTTTTTTTTTGTATAGTTATGAATTATTAACAGTCTATATCAGATTTTGTAATGTCTTAAAAGAACATATCAATCTTATTGATTATATAGATATATAATAAAAAATAGATATAACTGAATTTTATACATGAATATCGATCTCTTCAGAATCTGTATTAATAAAATTTGTAGCTTCACTTTCGATTGGTACAGACCCGCCCGAATTCGATGTTTGTGAATTTGTTCGTATATTGCAATTTGTAATTTGAACAACAGGAGCTGGAAATTCTTCAACATCTGTATATAAATTTACCGTATGTGGTTTAGTACTGCTCACAGAACATTCCAAGTCCGGTAATTCGCCTAATTAAATAATTAAAATTATCTTTTTCTTTTATTCAATATTTGATCATTATCATATATTGATTAAATAATTATATCTATATAAATATATTTAATAATTAATCCTCAACATATACTTCAAATATTAATCAACAATAATCAATAAATTAAATTAAAATGTAATGACAGGAATAATGAGAAGATAAATAATATTTAAAAATAATTCTTACCATTAATACTATGAATATCAAACGGCCTGAAAACAGTGCCACTAGATGGTTCTCCAGCACTTACACTAGCTTCTTCATCTGTTGTATCTAATAATTCTTCAGAATCAGAACTACTATTGAAGTGAATCATATCGTGTTGTCTTGTTTGCGATCTTCTAGCACGATTAAAAGGATTCTCTCTCTGTCGTGAAAATGTTCCACCTTGAGTACCTAATAAAATATTTTTATTTCTCTAAAATATAAGTTAATGATTCTATATCTTTTAAAATGAGAAAATAAAGATTTTTTTTTATACCTTGATGGCCTTCTCGAATCAAAGGTGTCGTATCGTCAGCATCCGAATCACTTTCGTCAGTAACAACTTGTTCGTCCGCTGCAAAAACTTTCCGCTTACAAACAGGACAAACTCTACGATTTTTTGTTAGCCAAGGGTCAATACATTTTGTATGATATGCTAAAAATAAATAATATATCATTCATGATATAAATATTATTAGTTATAAAATATTTCAAATTTTTCAATATACTAACCACATATTGACACATACTAACCATGTGCACAGGGTAAAACTCTTAATTTTTCACCCTCAGCATAGTCATCTAAACAAATAGCACATGTTTCATATGGATCACCTTTTGTATACTTGTGCGTAGGAATTTTTTTCAAACTTGAATTAGGTAATCTATGTCTTTGTTGCCTTCTTCTATCTTTAATACATCTAACAATCTATAATTTACAAAAAAATGTTTTGACTATACTTTTTTTGCAATAAATATAATAATTTAAATGTTATTTATTAATTCATTCTGCAAATCTCACCATAAAGATAACCATGATTAGAAAACATATCCCTACGACAATAGCAAAAGGTAAAAGTAAATGTGTTATATTGAATGGACTGTCATCATTGATTAATACAAAATACAATTCATCATATAAATAATTTTCTTTAATAATCAATCCTGTAATTTCACTGACAAATACTGATGGTATTATTATTCCTGTAGGATCTTTAGCTAGCATTGGTTCTGTAATACAAATATATTTATACATTTTTATTATATATTTTCATTTATCAATTGGCCTATTTAAATATTGAAATATTATTATGTAAATATTTTCAATGAAAATAATCTATAATTATATAATTGAATCTATAACATTTTCTTATTTTATTTTAATAAGAATTACCTAATTTATTGCTGTTTACATTATGTATAATTACAGCATCATAACCAGCTTTCTGAGCCATTCGTACTTTTCTTTCAAAACTACAGTTATAGCGAGCAATTAAAGATATCCAATTACCAATATAACTCGTACTATTAGGAGGACCCTGTATTTCATGACATGCTGTAGGTGGTTCTGCATACACAACCATCCCCTAATATAAAATTTTTCATAAACTATAATATATATACTTTTCTAATTTATTTATTATATTATTCTATATATATATTTTCATTTCATTATTCACTATTAATATTGATTACATTGATAATATTTTACACATAAACTATTCTATTCACATTTATATATTAATTAAAATCATATTTTTTTTAACCTTCAATTTTTTTTAGATATTTCAATTTTTTTTCTAAAATATATAATATAATATATAGAGAAAATTATACAAATATTTCTTATAATTATAGATACCTTAATCCCTTCAGATGGTATCAAACCTCCAAATCTGGCAGGCATGTCTCTAAATTCTTCTTCAATTTGATGTCTTGCAGCCGCAGAAAATACTAAAATATCTGCTCTATTGCACATTACACAAAAGACAAGAAACATAAGCCACAGTTGAAGTTGGTGGCTTAAACAACACTGTTTCATGTTTTAAAATGTCAAATTGCCTTGTCAACCTTAATATTTTATTAAAAATTTGTTTAATTGCTTCATTATATGTTACATTTAGTTCTAAAATATTAATGTATCCATGAACAAAATAATGCTAGCCTGTTAAAATAATTATAATATTTTCAGATTATATGTTTATATTTTATGTAATTTAATATTATATATTTTATATAAAATTTGAATTAATATACAACTATATTTACAATTAATTTACACTTAATAATTTTCATTTTTATAATTATTCAATGCTAATAACTAATAATATTTTTATCATTTAATAATAATTTTTTTCTTTATATAACAAAAACCTTAATTTATTCAGTGAAATAAATTTTCGAACTAATTAATGATGAAGTTAAAAAATATGATACATACACAGTAGTACTGTATGATTTTTAATCATTCACAATATATTGTTTTAAGTGATTAATTATCGATTATTCAATAAACTATTCATAAACAAAAAATACAAACGTTATTTTTTTATCAGAATAAAATAGAAAAATTATATATTTAATGTGCGAAGGACATTCGTAAACACATTCAGTTTGATATATTGATAAACGAATAGATAATAGAAGCATAGGAAATGATGATGAATCTCTCAAAGTATATCGAGATGTACAAGATATAATAAACAAATAAATGATTAATATGTCCAAAAACAATATATACATATAAATGAGTATGTACGCAACATCTGCGTAAATTTAACCCTGTAAATTTTCTTGTCAATAAGTAATAACACTCAAATGTAAATACGTAGATAATTTCGATACGTACTAGTATTTTTCTATCTTTTTTCATCCAGAAAAACACGTTAAGTAAGACACACAGGAGACGTTGAATCGGTCGTACATGCATATATATGCATTTATACACGTAATATTGTAGATAATATGAATGTGCAGTAAGATGTACACCGTTTACACATTGCTCTTCATTTGTATCTTCTTTAATTCGTTTTCTACAAATTTCAGGTTATAATATTATAAAACGTTTTGAATATAACACATCGGTAAAAATATAAAATCCTTACGGCGATACTAAATTGACTGCGACGTGAATCCATTGAGTAAAATTTGCAAGTAAATGTCAAAAATTTAATTTTACAAATGAATCACTTATTCATAATTATTTCAATAAAAGTAATTTGAAGTTATATGTATATATATATATGTATAATGCGAAAACGATTTAAACAATAATTTTTTTAATATAAAAAAAAACTGTAACTTGATCCCTGGAGTCACGCGGATATCATACATATACTTTTTCCTCTATTTTCTTGTGGAACAATCTGATAGTGCCATGCCGGACGTATGTATATTACCGCGCAATGCAAATGTTAAATTTAAGTAAATGTCAATTTATAATTTATTAATTTTTACATCATACAATTAATATTTTTTCAATTAAATTCTAGATTAAATTTTTTTTAAAACTTTCATTATTATTTGATTTATTATTATTTGATTTATCAAAAAAATATTAATATTTAATATTGTACTTATTTAAAAAATTAAATTTATATATTGAAAATGTTATGTAAATGTATATATAAAAATGTTTTATATATCGATTTTTTTCTATTTGCTAGATATTTTGTTTACTTTTGTTGATGTATTTAGATAAAATATATATGTTATTTTATTTAAAAATGGAACAATTATATGCATTGAATAAATTAAACATATAATATGATTTTCATATAAAGTATATTTAAAGTATATTTGTTCTTATATAATTGTTACATTAGACAAGATATGTATTACATCAAAATAACTTAAATAATCACAGGTAAAATTAATTGCATAGTAAAATCAATTAAGAAAAAATATTTTTCTTTTTGAAGAAAATTTATACTTATACTTACAATCTCTTTACCTACTAACTTATTACATTTTATATTAAAATATTATGCGCATACACATATATAATCTTTAATATTCAATAATACATAATACAATGAAATTTAAATTGACATGATTTATTATTTATAAAGTCAATAGAAATTATTCAAGAAATAATTATTAAATATATATCATGATATATTACATATTTTACCTGAGTGACTTCAAAAAGATTATATTTTATAAACTAATATTTATATTAATTAATATTAATTTTGATTTAATATCTTCAACATTAATATTATTTATAAATTACGATTAA